AGATTTAGACTAGATAGAAGGAAGAAATTTTTTACACTGAGGGTGGTGAAACACTGGCACAGGTTGCCCAGAGAAATGGTGGATACCCCATCCCTGGAAACATTCAAGGTCAGGTTGGACAGGGCTCTGAGCAACCTGATTTAGTTGAAAATGTCCCTGCTCATTGCAGGGAGTTTGGACTAGATGACCTTCAGAGGTCCCTTCCAAGTCAAACTATTCTATAATTCTGTTCTATGGTTCCATGATTCTATGATACTAAGTTTGAGTTATGGAGAGATATTCACTGTTGTCCCCAGTTTCCAGGTGTTCCTCATGTGGGTGCTGGCAGTACTCTCATATGCTGTCTTGCCTTGGTGTGGAGAGAGATGGACATGTTGGTTGGGGAAGCTTTCTGTGGGCCCTTTTTACATCTTCCAAATCAAGCAAAATCCCTGCCCTGAAAACCTCTTATTTTTAATAACTTCATACTGAGCTCAAAGCATGGGGACCAATGTCAAAAAACATGAAGTCCTCTGTGACGGAGCTGTCCTTGGAGACTGTTACAGTTTGCTGCTTGTCTGTTCAGGTAGACATCTCTTGGAAAAAGAAATCTCTGCAGTTGTTTCTAAGCCTGAAACTCAGGATGGGAATAAACAACGGTTGACCAGGTTGTGAACTTCGTGAAGGATTCACGTGGTATTTGGGGGAGGTGGAAGGTCTCTGAAGGATCCAGAGAAAGTTTGGCCAGCAGAGGAGTGGTGGGGTGGTCACACTTTCATAGCAGATGACAGGAGTAGCTCAGCTATGAGGAAGAAACATTTCAGAGGAGAGAGAGAAGCTGCATACTGGAGCTGGTACCACAGGAAAAGGAGTTTTTGAGATCGCTGAGGAAATTTAGGCAGAAGAATGTATATTGGTAACTAGTTGTTTTGTCTAGTTCTGCCTTTTGTGTGCTGGCTAAATAGTGGTTGGCTGGGGGGACTCTGAGTAAAGCCTGCTTACTTCTAATCTCTTGTGTCCCTAAAAGCTGGGGGCTTGGGGAAGAGCAGGGTGTAGATTACAGCCGACATAGGCAGGGAAAGTACAACCGGTGGGATATGGTACCATTTCCACAGCAGCATATGAAAGGCATCATGAAGAAAAACACCGGACTGGAGAAGGTTGGGAGTGCTGGACGCTGGGCCGAGCAGGGAGGACTGGCAAGGGACCAGGTGGGATGGTGCAGCACGTTGGTGGCTGTCAGATGGACAGAGCAGAGTCAGCATTGCCCTCAGGTGTCTTCGTGTCAACTCTCCTGACTCCATCCAGCTGCTGCACAGATGTGTTTGTGCACTGGGAGGGTGGAGGAAAGAGGAGTGTGGCTGATGCTTCCAAAGTATGCAATCAAACCAAAAACATTGCTGGCCAAGGAATATTATCTAAGCTGGAAATAACTGTGTGTGATAAATACTGCGTTCTGGTTTCTGAAGCAGAGTGGTGTTGCTGCTCATTTCTGTCCTTTGTCGGCAGTGGGATAATCCTTGTTTAAGGTCATCTGAACAGGGATCTAAAGGGAGCTCTGTGCCGTGGCAACACCGGATCTGGGCCCATGTGGAAACAGAGGCCCTTGCATGTGAAAAAGGCAAGTTTCAGCTTGGAAGCAACAAGTAAGACCTTGCAGATCCTTCCAATCCGAAGCATGGAAGCTACTGGCAGCAATTGTAAGTGCTGACAGAAGTGGTCAGGTTTTACATGATCAGGCCAATAAAATCGTGAGATTTCTCCCATCCCCCTGGAATGGCAAAGATTCAAGCTGTTGTACAGTGGAGATGGACTTTTAGGTCTGTACATCTTGGGTATAGCATGCATCTGGGGGCACGGTAGGCCCCTGTGAAACCTCACCATATGGAGAGGGAGAGGAAAGCACTGACTAGACACAGTGAGTCATGGTGATCTTTATTTTCAGGTTAGAGAGGATATCTCTCTCTTTGTTGTTATTGCCTTCAGGATACTATGAAGAAACCCATGTTGTGATCATATGTGGAGATCCCTTAAGGGGCTTCCCATACCCTGCGTCTCCTGCTTCCTCATCCTACCTAAGCAGGAGGCTTTTTAGCTGCCTTCCCAATCACTTTTTTCTGCTTGCAGCTCCCAGCTTTAAAGGAATTAAAAATCTGTGTGTGCACCTGGAACCTTGCTGTCTGTGCGTCCTCCAGGGCAAAAAGCCTTTATGTTGTCCAAGGATCAGTTAAGCTGTGTTACTCAGTTTGGTTCAACGTCTCCTGTAATGATCTCCCATATGGATGCCTGGTAACAATAGGAGGGATTTTGCTTGGACACTGAGATCCTGATACGGCCAATATTGGATTCAGTGGACTATTTGTTTTTTTCTTGCTTAACATCCTGTGGCTGGGAGGGAAGGGTGGTGTGCCAAAGACGAGACTTGGAAATAAGGTATGTGGGTTGTGTGCTACCCAGAGCTGAGTCTCTGAAAGCCCAGACTCAAGTGCACTGAGCTGGGGGAGGAACTCCCCTTGATCTCTTTGGGCTTTGAAGCAGATGTCTGAGGGTGAGATCTACAGATAGCTCAGCTGCACGCTCAACTCTGGTTGACTTCTATACAGCAGAAGCAGATGCTGAGCCTTTCTGCTGAAGTGGGGCTTTGAACTTTCTGTGCTTGTTTCCCTCTGCTGTAGCAGTGGAAGAATACCTGTCTTTTGCCAACGGATATCAGCCAGATATCAGATACCCCATCACCTGGGAAAGCTTGCTGGAATATTTTGGTTATTTATTAGCATGGTGCTAAAGAAAACTTGTGATTACATGCCTAATCACTACGTGAAAATAGGAAGTAATTAAAATCCAATCCATGCAGCTGGCTAGGAATATGTCAAAATGAAACAATCATTTTTACATTCATCATGCAAAAATCCAAGTTGTTACGTGGCAGGTTGGTTTGATAATGGAACAAAACATGATAAAGCTTTTATTTTGTTTCTGAATGCTGGCATATTCTTTTCCAGTACTTGCAGGGAGTAACTAGCAATTGAAGTAAAGTTCAGCTAACTTTTCTTTTTTGTGTCTTTGGAGCTTGTACTTATAATTCTTTGCCCATTTCGGTCACACTGGTATTATGACGAAAATGCAGAGGAAGTGATGCCCTGCATTCTTGAGCGCAGAAGTAACTCTGTTTTGCACCGTGTGTTGGCAGTGTTCATACATCCCTCCCTGTGCAAGAGACGATCAGGAGAACTCTGAGAACGTCACGTACAAGCAGAAATACTGGAAAGAGAAAGTGGGTTTGCAACCATTTACATGCTATTTTAACCAGCACTTGAGGTGAGTAATCTACATTTGCATAAGCAGAAGTGCTTATGCATCTGTTTAACAGCTGTCCATTGGTTCTCTTTGAAAATATATACAAATGCATGCATATGTATATATAAACACACCCATATAGTGATGTGGTTTAGCACACAGAGTTTAGTGCAGAACTTTGCAAGACAACTCTATTGATGAAAAGCTACATAGAAAGCAGAAAAGCTTTTTTACCACTTGAAGTAAAAATATAAAACTCCAAGGAAAGTTTCCCTTAAAACATGTCATTTTATGGCAAAAAGCATCTTGGCTTTTAACATTCAGATGGCAAATTTCTGGCTTGGATATTAACCTTCCTTCCCTCCGTGGAAGAGAAATCCTACTGTGTTCATGAGGGGCTGGAAGAAAAGGGGAGATCAGTAAATAGTACAAACCAACTCAGGAATTGTGTCCATAGGGATTAACGAATCAGATACGTGTAATAAACGTACACAGAACTGCCAGTTTTCACACATGCTTGCAGAGTAGAAAGTTGTAACTTAAAGCATCTACTCTTCTGTTTCAATTCTTACTTTTACTACTGATGTTGCTGTGACTTACATGTGTATAAGGGTGACGTGTGGTTTCCTTCCTTCAGTAAATGGGAAGAGGAGGGAGTTCTTTTGCTTGTCTCTTTCTGATGATGATGTGCCAGGAAATAAAAGGTGATGTGGCGGCAGCAACTTACAGTTACCGCAGTGTGCAGGCTCACTGAGACGACTTGGGAGAACAGCAGTGATTGAGATGATAGGTCCATGCAGACAGGGAGGCAGAAAGAGAACATTTAAGATCTCCAGATCAGCCAAGGTTTTATGGGGTTTAGATTCCAATTCCGGAGGCATATGACACTTGCTTAATTCGATCAGCATGAGTAATTTTGGTAGAGCTGGGGAGAGTGTTCTTGGTTGCTAAATGAAGCACTCAAATAAATATCTGCCGCATCAGGGACTAAAGGAGGAGGTTGGTCCTACCCCACCAGCACTTAAGTTAAACAGATGAGGGAGACCTAGGTGGGAATAGCTCGGTGCTTGCTGGTGCAATTCAGGGCTCAGTGTGGGAGTGTTGGCATCAGATATTTAAGTTTATTAAGGCACACAGGAGGAAAATGGATGCCAGTGTGTGTGCTAGGACCTTGGAGGAACCGGGGAGCTGGAGCAGGGTAGCAGGCATAGAGATGTCCGACTCTCCTGTGGGTGGCCCGCTGAGTGCCTTGGGGGCTTCAAGTTTGTCCTAGGTTGGCTATGATTGTTGTCCCCTCCCTGGAGAGACCGTAGACCTAGTCAGCGTGCCCAGGATGACAGTCTATTGTCCCTGGTTAACCCTTTGCAGAGGGAAATCACCAATGTTTTGTAGCAAAAACTAGTTGTTTCTTGCAGTGGGGAAAGAAGCACTGTCTACAGCGTGCAGAGGTTAAAACTTAGGGCACCCTGTGTGGTGACATCAGAGCTGGCAGGGACCTTCTTGGGAGCTGCTTCTGTCCGCAAGGTGCCAATGCTTGGGTCTGCTAACCAGGAGCCGAGTGATGATTTTGGCTTCTCTGGGCAGGCAGGTGCTTCCAGTTCCCCACGCTGCTGAGACCTGGGACCTGCAGCAACCGCTGCCTGAGTGAGCAGAATAGTCAGAAACATGGGATCTTCTGCAGGAGACATCATGGCTAGGATTCATCTGAGCTGGTGTGGACAAGATGCTGTGAAAGTTAACTTTTATAGTCAGTGGAGAGAAATAGGAGCCTTTAATCTTACCCCAAAATAAATGCCTAATATAGGTTGGATGCCCAGGGGTGTTTATTTCTCTCCTGTAAAGGAGCTTAGGGTGATCTGCTCGGGTGCAGGCACCTAGCTGGTAGGTGTCCAGAGCTAGGTGAGCTGGTTCTCACATCACATCTGTAGGTGAAGCAAAGGCAAAATTTTTCTGAGGCTGCATACTGCTTAGGGTCTGCCATTTATGTAGGTTGACACTGAGGAATTGTGCAGCACTCAGGCAAGGTTTTTTCCTTATACTTGCTGCATCCTATACTGTTAAATGTTCTTGCCAAATGCAATGGCTGCCTTGAAACACTGCCTTTTGCTGATCATACAACAATTTATATAGAGCCGAAGAGAGGCTCGCTGCCAGAGATACTTGAAAATAGTCTAAGCTGAAATGTGTACACCATCTATTTTCTTCTGGAGATAGTAATAAGCTTTGAGAGATAAGTTTTGCTGACTAGGAATGTGCTTGCTTAGGTATACTTTTAGAGCTACAGTGACTAAACAGCTTGTGAAGTGGTAAAAAACATACAAACTGAGGGAAAAACCTGTTCACTTTAAAATAGAAATGTGCATATTTTCTGTCAGTATCTTTTTAACTGTGTGGATGAGTTAACTCTTCTGTGTCAGTCTGTATAAAACATATAGAATATAGTGGTAGGTTCCTTAGAGAGAGTGGTATTTGCAATATTAATACTCTCTCTTTTGAAATGGCAGAATAAAATTCTAGGTAAATATCTAGGCAATGAATAAACATCATGTCCTCTTCATCAAACTTGACTTAGCATCATTCTCAGAATTGTTGCTGCATGCAGAGCGCGCTGTTAGGTAACACCTCCCTTCAGTTTGGTGGGGCACCATTTGTACAGTTCAAAGTTATACAAAATGGGTGAGAAGCAGACTTGGCAATTTCAATCATTCTCGGTTAATAAAAATAGAGAGGCCCAGCACAACCAGCTGTCTGACATTTATCTTAGGGAACCAAAGCGCAGATGGGGTAGCCCTGTATGTTAGGGAGTGTTTTGATTGTCTAGAGCTTAATGATGGTGACAATAGGGTTGAGTGTTTATGGGTAAGAACCAGGGGGAAGGCCAACAAGGCAGATAGCATGGTGGGAGTCTGTTATAGACCACCCAACCAAAATGAAGAGGCAGACAAAATATTCTATAAGCAGCTGGGAGAAGTCTCACA